TCGCCGAAGTCCCGACGAGTCCGGATTAAAGACTTTTGACTGTACTTTCTCTTTAATTCTGTAGCCAGACATAATATCTTGTTTAGTTACATTGTTGAAGTTGTGTAGCTGCTGTTTTGAGAATTCCGGCTAACTTCTAACTTTTCAATCGAAATTTTCTCGTTTTCAATAATTTCTTTGTCACTTTCTTCACTTTTTTCGGTAGCAGTATTTTCTGGATCTAGAACCATACTACAGATTTCGCCATTCATTAATTGATTGATGACTGAGAAGCATTGTCATCAAAATGAAAAACTTCTTTTATATCATCTTCATTTATTACCACTTCTCTACATTTCTTTACAAAATCCATTAATTGGAAAATTTTGCCTTTGTTTTGCGATATCCACAAGCCTTTAAAATTAGCAGCTATCATCAAATTTAGCTATCCTTCACTATACATATTTGGCTATGCATCATGAGCTTGGTGACTAACGGCTAGTTGTTCCATTAAATTTTATCTTGCTTCTATCATGCACTGAGACAATTAAGCCTGAATTGTATTAGTTTAGTTATTTATTGTACTTAAGCCTTATTGAGAGCTGGCGCTAGATATCTTACCGCCTGATGCAGTTTCTAAGGGTCCTAAATTCTGCAACTTGGTGTGGCCATACAAGCCCTGGCACTGAGTTTATGTGAATAACAAATCAGTTATTCTTAATTCAAATAGCTCTAAATGTAATCTTCGGGTCTATGAGTATCATTAAAAAAATCTATTTTTAGCATATGGAAAGAAATTGTTGGTAATTTTTTCCTCGTCAACATTTTTTAGCGCATTTAACTTAAATCTGTAATCATTGCAAAGAGTTAACATAAAAGATTACTATACTCTTTTGTTATTCAATTACTAACATAAAAAAATTATTTAGGCATCGCTACATGAGTCATTACTCAAGTTCTCATGTTTTGATAAACATGCGATGATGAAAGGAAAGTATAATGATTCGCTAGGTTGTTGTCAGATCAACGATGTATCTATGTGGAATATTTCGGTTTGAGATGTGTGCCAAAGCAGATATGTAGCAACGGAGCCAAATTATTGATCGTACAAATTTATGCTAAAATGATTGTTTCTTCAATAACAAGGTATTTTATTTAGTGTCAAAGTGAAATTAAGAATCAAGACTCTCCAGACGTTTTATTATGTGCAAAGGGGGGAATCAAATGCGCATGTATAAAGCCTAAGAGAAAAAACGTTGCTGGTGGTTTTGAGGTTCGGATTTTAGATCATTCCGGATAATGGACACCCGGATTTCAGACTTTGTACTGTATATATATATGTTTGGAATTTTTGGTTTTTAAGTTTTTGTTCCTTCATAATTAGGGCTTTTATTTTCAAAAGAATTTATAAACATAAACTAAAAAATGCCAATGAAGATTTTTATCAGCAAATGTTGCCAAGATAGTCGTCATAGTATGTAAGTACCAGAAAACTGTCACAAAATTTTATTGAAAACTAAAACATTTTTATTGTAATCGCACAGCAGCGGGCACACAGTGCCTGTTGGCATCGGGTTGGGAATCCCTTTTCTAAACAATAATCTATTATGTAATTTTGAACAGATAAATCTAAAAGAAGGCAAAATTTGCTCTAAACTTGACAAGATTAAAACACAGATTAAAAGCATTTTAACTATATTGCATTGTTCATGTGGAATTTCAGAAATAGTATGTACTCCCTTCCAATTATACACAGAATCTAATGAACTGGAAATGGATCAACAAATGTTTTCAGAAACAACAGATTCTCTGTTTAAAAGATTTCACAAATTGTAGCAGATCATTAATTTTGCTTATTATCCAGTTAGTTGCTGTCGCATCTTGTTTCAAACTTAATCTCTTCTCTTTATATATTAGTAAATGAATATGAATTCTTCTATACTTTTTACTCTTTTTTTTTTTTTTTTTTTGAGAAATTATTCAATTTGCATTTTAATTTTACGGAAATAATAAAGCATTTATTTTCAGATAAGTTAAACTGTTTTAAAATAACATGTCAAATAAAGATTATTGGAAATACTAAGGCAACAAGTATCGGTGTTTATGAGTATTATGCTGATTCTTGTTTGCCTTAGTGCCTCTAATAAGTTAAGTTGTTGTTACTAAATTTATCCAAGTTAGCAGCTTCATGAATGCATTATTGTTCTTTCACTTTCTTCTTTTGTTTTCTTTTCCGCCACTTTTCGTTTAGAAGAAAATCAACCCTGGTGAGTATCCACACAGAAAAACATTAAAGTCACTCTTGAAGGTGACCGATTTGCAGCTATACTAGTGTTAGAGCCATCATAAAGCAGGATAAAACTATTTCTGGGTGAAATCAAAGTGGCTTAAAAATTCATTTCCATACTGAAAACATATAAATTTAATAACAACATTTATATATATCTAGGAGTAATATATGTTTTAAACATCAATAATTCATCTTCCACAACATAACCATATGTCTGCCCAATATTTTGTATTCTTTCTGTTAATTTACTACCTGCCTAAAAGAGTAATTATAAAAAAGAAAAAATGTATAATGAGTCTAACTAATTTAATTTCATAAATATATTTAATATTTCTAATTATCCATCTCAGATTTTTAAAGCATTTTGTTTCAAATTAGTCAGATCAAAAAATAGAAAAAATAATCTAAGAACTGTGTTTATTGCTTTTAAATCAGTTAGTTTGTTAGCGAAAAACCGATAGATTAAATTTGAAAGTTATGTATCTAATCTTTATTAAACGGCAATACAATATAGGGTATTTCACTTTGTAAGGCCAAAAAATAAAATGAAAAATTTTTGCACTTCGCTTACTTTCTGAGTCTCAGTGATCTAAAAGATACATATGCCAAATTTCATGAAGACTGGATACTATTTAGAGGTTGTACACTTTAATAAGTTTTGTAGTGGTAGAAAAAACATATAATTTTTCAGTATTAATTACTTTCACTGGGAAAACCAGAAATCACAAACTTAAAATAATACTAAAACTAGACACTAGAGATTGATAGGCAAAATGTGTTATATTAAGCAGCTTTCAGTGATGAAAATCCCTTCTTTTGGTTGCTTGTCAATTACACTCAGTGAGAATTTTTGCTGTTCATCTCTGACCAATTCATTAAACATTTTTATCACAATAACTCTTTCTGCAGTATCATTAACTACCTTAAGAAAGTTCACATGTGTCTAGGGCTTCTTAGAGAATCACTGTGGTATTCTGTCACATCATGGACACCTAACAGTTCAAGGAACATCTGTGCATTATTAGTAACAAAATGGCTCACTTTTTTTCCTTCAAAAAACTGTTTTTACCTTCCAATTGTTTCCTGTTTCTTTGCAGGTTTGGTTTCTAAATTTTTGGTCATATTTTCTTTATCAGCCTGAGTAATATGTTTACCGAAAAAGCCAATCTGACAGATGCCAAAGGTGTCTCTTAGCAACAGTAATAGCACTTTTTTTTTTTACGTCTGCATCTGGGTAAGTGCTCAGAAGCCATAGTTTTCCAAATCTTTCTTTGGAGGCCCATCGACTTACAATGGCTTTGTGTGAAAGGCTGAAGAAATAAGCAACCTATTTCATTTTTCTCAATTCTCATTGAGAAATATTCAACTGTTTAGTAAGCAGGACAACGATTTGCTTGTTGCAGAACCCCTGGGATCCTGAAACTGAAGTTGTTTTGAGACCAGCCTCCTAGGTACTGGAGTGAGAGGTGTAATAATTCTGTAGTCTTCTCTTGGATGCCTTCTGTCTTTTAGGATATTTTAGATGCAATTAACAATTTTTGCTCATTGTTCTTTCAGAGCCTTGAATGGAACTTTCTTCACCCAGCATTGTTGTATATGACTTCTTATCATGTGAAGCCCCCAGGCTTTGGAACTTTGAAAAGTCTGGACCACTGATGGTATGCCACAACCTTCTTTTCAGTATTAGTTCATGTTGATGCTGGCAAGCCAAACACAAAAATGCTCCTTCAAATTCCCTTTTAATTCTGGTACATGAACCCTGGATCAGGCCTTTATTAAATGCTTGTAGCGTCCAAACACATACCGATGATATTGCCACATAGCTCAAATTGGTCCTCTTCCCAAAGAACTTCTTTAGTCATCTGCTCCCCAGTTCTTTTCAGGACAACAGGTATGCCAAGCAAATGCTCAAAATCTTGCCAGTCACTAGATCTGCAACTCTATCCTCCAAAGTTTTGACACTTTCACGAGTAACTGAGAGCAACAGTTTACTATCCCACTGCAAGACCAAATAAGAAGGATTTTCAAAGAATGATTCTCCGATTTTCTTTGCCATTTTACTTCTATTATCTGAGCTCGGTAAACAAGAGAAATGGAAATTTAAACATCGTGGCCAAAGAAATACATGAGAAGCCTATTAGTACAAAACACTTATTATTTATATTAGAAATTTCACTAGTTTATGATAAAAGTGTTTAATGTGTGCAACTTTTAACGTATTATCCAATCTTGATCCAATGTGTGCAACTCCTAAAATATTATCCAATATTCTTGAAATTTGGTATATATATCTCTAATTAATCCCATCATTAAGACTCCGGGTGTAAGCAAACTCTTATGAAAATCAAATCTTTGGAAAAATGAAACACCCTAGCACACTGGCATGTGAAAAATAAAAGCATTTTATTTCAAATAGTGATAATACATTGATTTTAAATAGCCAAGTTTGTTGATTAAAACTGAAGGCTCAAACTGAAAAATAAATATTTTATTTTGAAGTGTTGCTATCACTTGCTTTTAAATTGTTCAGTATATTAATCAAAAATTAGCTAAATTTGTACAAAATGTGAAATAAATAAATAATAATAATAATAAATCCAAGCTTTGAGGAGCAAGTGGACGACTATATGTGTTCAAAATCTGGTGGCTTTAGATGCTGCTGTTTTTCCATAATGTGAGAAACATACATATATTTTATTCAAACAGATTATTTAATAATAGAAATAATAAGTCAGCATTATATATATTTATTACTTAACGAAGACTTGTGACTGTACAACTGCATGCTTATCATCTGATAATGCAGATTACATATGCAGTTACCTTTGCTTATAATCCAGCTAGATTTGGAAAACAATTATTTATGTTACATCTGCATGGAAAGGACTTAAATCTACTTCTCAACAGTATGGGTAGATATTTCATTATCAGTATGGATAAGTATGTGTCTCTTTAATTCCTTTCTGCATCTAAATGACTTATTACATGCATCACACACAAACCGTTTCTGATCAGAGTGGACAACACTATGGTTCTTTAAATCATTCATACGTGAAAATGATTTATTACATATATTACATGAATGCAGTTTCTTAACAGTGTGAACACGAATGTGTCTACTTAAGCATTTTTTTAATGCAAATGCTTTGTCACATAGATCGCATTTATATGGCTTCTCACCAGTATGAACAATTAAATGGTTCTTGAAGCAGCTACTGTGTGCAAATGCCTTGTTACATATAGTGCAAGTAAAAGGTTTCTCACCAGTGTGAATACGCATGTGTATTTTTAAGGCACTTTTACATGTATATGAACTGTTACATATAGAGCAAGAATGAGATTTCTCAGCAGTATGACAATGCATGTGTCTGTCTAGAGACTCTTTGCACGTAAATGTCTTGTTACATATACTGCAAATCTCAAGTTTGCCAACTGCGTGACTATGCATGTGTATGTTTAAGTAACTTTTGCTTGTAAATAACCTGTTACATACACTGCAAATATGAGATTTCTTACCTGTCTGACTATGCATGTGATATTTTAAAGAACTTAGGCGCGTAAATGACTTGTTACATACATTGCAAGTGTGTGGCTTTTCACCAGTATGACAAAGCATGTGTTTGTTTAAGCAACTTTTAAATATAAAAGCCTTGTTACAAATATCACATGCATGCTCTTTCTTACCAGCATGGATAAGCATATGTCTGTTCAGTGACTTTTTGAGTCCATACGAGCTATTACAGATATTACAGGTATATCGTTTTTCACCACTGTGGATAACCACATGCTGCTTTAAATAACTTCTGTATAAAAATGATTTATTACATATACTACATATGTGCTTTTTCTCAGCAGTGTGAATAAGCATATGTCTATCTAATGCTTGTTTCAATGCAAATGGTCTAAAACACACATCACATTCATATAATTTCTCACCAGTATGTATAAGCATATGTGTGTTTAAGTAATATTTGCGTGTAAATGACTTTTTACAGACATCGCACTTAGGTTTCTCGCCAGTGTGAACAAACATATGCTCTTCTAAATATCTTCTCTCTGTGAATGACTTATAACATATATTACACAGCAGTTTCTTTCTGGTGTGAGTTAGCATATGCCTTTCTAACACATATTTTACTGCAAATGATCTAGAACATAGATCACATTTATACGGTTTCTCACCAGTATGGATACGCAAATGTGTCATTAAGTAACCTTTGTTTCTAAATAATTTACCACAGATATCGCATATATGTTTCTCACCAGTGTGGACAGACATATGATCTTCTAAGTACCTTCTCTGTGCAAACGACTTATCACATAAAACACACACATGCGTTTTCCCTCCACTGTGTGTTAGCATATGCCTCTCTAGCACATGTTTATATGCAAATGATTTGGAACATTCACCACATTTATATGGTTTCTCACCAGTGTGCTTACGCATGTGATTTTTTAAGCTACTTTTACATGCAAATGATACATTGCATTTGTCACATGTATGAGGTTTTTCACCCGTGTGCTTCAGCATATGCATCTTTAACAAACATTTGAATGTAAACGACTTACTACACATATCACATTTATATTTCTCACGAGTGCAGACAGACATGTACTGGTCTGAAGAAGTTTTTTGTACAATTGACTCATTACATACAGTTTGTACATTGATTTTTTTATCAAGATGAACACGTATATGACTGTTCAGCACATATTTTAAAGCAAATGATTTGGAACAAATGTCACAGTTATATGGTTTTTCACCAGTATGCATAAGCAAATGTGTGTTTAAGATACTTTTATATGCAAAAGATTTGTTACATATATTGCAAATATGAGGTTTCTCACCACTTCGACTACATATGTGTGCTTTTAAGTGATTTTTAAAAACAAACGACTTATCACATAAATCACATGTAAGTTTCTCCCTAGAATGAATAAGGTTATGTATTTTTAAATCAGTTTTAAATCTAAAAGATTGGCAACATGTAGAACATTCATGTGGTTTGTCTTCACAATGTATAAGCGCATGTGCCTTTAACATAAATGCGAATGCATACCTCTTTGAACATGTGACACATTCATGCTTTTTCTCCGCTGTGTGGCTAAGCATATGGCTTGTTAAGCACATTATTTTTGTAAAGGATTTTGAACATATATCACATTTATACGGCTTTTCATGAGTATGTATAAGTATATGGTTTTCTAACACATTTTTGGATGGAAATGATTTAGTACATACATCACATTCATAAAATTTCTCATCACACTGAGTATGCATATGTTTATTTAAAAATTGCTGACTTGGAAATGATTCACTACACACATGACATTTGATTGGTTTTTGATTCATGTTGATATCATGTCGCTCTCAGACTGTATTCTGACTTCTGATGTGCACTTCGTTCAGATATACTCTCAGGTTACAAGACTCAATTGTTCAGCATGTTTATATATGGCATTATTCTACATAATTCATTTCACTTCTTAATGACATACAGTTTTAATATTTACAACATGGTATCAGAGTCGTAGCTAGGGTTTTCAGCGCCCAGGGACAACTGAAGATTTCGTGCCCCCTACTGCTTGCCAAGGATGGAAAACATTTAATTCTAAAATATCGTAACATCAGTTTGGCGCCTCTTGGATTCTGCGCCCGGGGACAGATGCCCCCCTCTAGCTACGCCCCTGCATGGTATTACATATATTGTTATGCCAGAAGCATATAAACCGCACATAAATGACCCACTATAGTTCACGCTCTATATGTAGAATGACTGTATTTTTGACAAATGTGTTGTATCACTGACAGACACATATAAATTGCAATTCTAAATACAGAGTTTCTCAGTTTGCGATTCTTACTACGTATACAGACGCAAAGTAGACGGAATTCGTTGTTGACAGGTTATCTTCACGAGAAAAAAGGGGGAAAAAATGGGAGGAGTTACGAGATTCTCTGGGTTGCATGAAGATCTACTAATAACTTTCTCGCCAAGTAATTTGGTACGTCATCGGCTCATTCTTATTTCTGGAACTGTGGTTGAAGAGTGGCGTCTTTTGGAACCGTAAGTATGTTATAATTCTTCCATAAATTTTTAATATTTTTAATACGTTTTTCCAAATTTACACATTTTGCCTTGATTAATTTGAAGTTGTTTGTTTTAGATGTGCGCAATAGCAATATTGGCAAATTTCAGGTTTATTCGTCAATATAACCAAGTTTTTTTATTTCTCTGGTAAGTGTTTGCTTTATATCTTACATTTATTATTAAATATGAAAAGTAATTTTTGCATGTGTATATTTTTTTCATGCTCAATTTTCTGTTTTATGTGCTGGTAGATTCCTGGCCGATTACCGTGTTTTTAGATAAATGCGCCATTTTCATTTAGCTCGTGTAGAGATTACTGTTTCCATTTTTTTAAGTAACCACGAAATTTCTTACACATGTAAAAGCTTTACTAGTAAACTTTTGATTGGAGGATATTTCAAGTAAATGTGACATTATTACTGAATTTGTGTAGAAGTTGCTCTTCGTTATGCCTTTTTTTGAGCCAATATGTTAATTAGTTGTATTATTTTAATACCTTGTTTTGCAGATTAATGCAGTTTATTTGACAGATGTGTAATGCTGTTTGTTGAAAAATGCATTAGAACCAATGATGGTAAAGACCTTGGCCTAGCAAATTGGTAAAATATTACCTGCTCTTAATTACTGAATCATATTGTAGGATAAAATCTGCTGTTTATGTATGAAGATTTTTACTTTATCTCTGATTATGTGGTATATGCCCAGAATTTCATTATTAATGTTCGATTCATTAAAAATTACTATTTTTAATTGTCTACTTTGTTTTGTGTACTGCTGCTGTTCATTCTGCATTTTTTTTTTTTTTTTTTGAGTAGATATAAAAATTCTTGTCTTTTCTTTTTTTTTTTCCCCTCCATGTCTCTTTTTATTGTGCTGGTAAATTTCTGACTGAACTCATTTCAAGTTGAATGCGATATTTTCTTTAGCTCATGTAGAGATTCATCAAGTTTTTGCTGGTAAATTTTTGAGAAAATTTCAAGTAAATGTGCCGTTTTTACTTAGTTTGCGTAAAAATTGTTCTTCTTTATGCCTCTTTTGAATAAATATGTCAATTCTTGTTTGTATTATTTAATATCTTGTTTTGCATATTAACACAGTTTATTTGACAGATTGAGATGCGATTTGTTGAGAATATTTATTAAAACTAATGCGGGTAAGTTCTTGGCCTAACAGATTGGTAAAAGATTTTCTGATCTTAATTACTTAATTTTTTTTATATTGTAGGATAAAAGTCTGCTTTTTACGTGTGAAAATATTTATTTTATCTGATTATGTGCCAAATTTAATGATTCAAGAAAAATGCCATTTCTGTGTGTAGCTAGTTCATTGTTGCTGTTCGTCATGCAGTTCTTTTGAATATGTATCAGTTGAAAATTTATTCTTACATGTGTATTTTTCTCATCAATTTTTGCTGTGCACTTTTCCTGTGAATATTATTTTTATTTATCTATATAGAATTTGCTCTTTGTACCTTTTTTGAATAAGTATGATGCTTAGTTCTTGTTTGTGTTATTTTAATGCCCAACAATTCACTTTCGGAACTACTCTTATATGCGCCCTGAGGTCGGCAATAACTTTTGGCGAGAAACTCCACGGTGCCATATTACTTTCTAAGTTTTTTGGTTTACATTTCGAACTTTAGGCCTAAAATGTTTCTAAAAACGAGGTTTTTGCAAATGCAAAAACCACGTTTTGAACACACAATTTAAGCTAAAACTCCCCCCCCCCCAAGAAAACAAAAAATTTTGATAGCAAAAACGTAAAGTTTCTAGCCAAAAATATTTTACAAGAATCCTTGCACACAGTGATATGTTTTAACTTTGAAAAGCATCTCCGAATTGCACAATCTAGGCAGGGAAAGAATCTACGAACTACACACACCTCGCTTTAATAAATTAACACAACAACAATTAATTTCAAAGAATACCATGTACACAGCGTTCTGTTTCAAATTTAAGAAACATCTACAAATTGTGCAATCTAGGCACTATGCACTCATCAACGAAATAAACTAAAATAATTTTCAAATTATTAAAAAACAACAATAACGATAGAAGTTCAAACTAAAAAAACAATGAACATAACATAAAGAATAAAATAAAATGCACTTACCATGAATGAATGCTTTTTCGAACAGCAGAAATACCATTTTCATGCCGCTACGTAATCATTATTGTATTTATATGACAATCAGACACACTATCCAGAAAATTCATACAAATAAATGTTCATAAATAAAGGTTCAAAAACCTTCTTTTCCTAAATCCTTGTAAGATTTACAGCCGATTTAAATTGATGATCTGGAATCGCCAAAGTCCTGACGAGTCCAGATTAAAGACTTTTGAGTGTAGTAACTTTAGAAATTTATCTGAATGTCTCCTGTGGACTTTCATTTAATAGATAACTAAAGCCAGTTTGGAAATTAGGACATTTTGATATTGAAGACTAATTCATTGCTGCCTACTCTCCTTTTTTTAATTTTTAGTCTTAAGAAAGGAAAATGTTTCTCAGAAATAAATAAAATGTATTTAATTCATTAAACTTAAATTAGCAAATTCCATTCCCTCAATCTCTAATGATTTTCAGAATTTTTAAATTCTATTTCATTTGAATTCTACTTTTTTCTTGTTACATTTTATTGATGTTATTAAATTTCATTTGGTCAGAGTTGTCTTAATCTGTAGTCATTTCTAAATTTTTATATGAAGATTTAAAAAATGGAATTAGAATTACCCAAAGAATATAAGAATTAAATGTTAATATATTTTACAACAGAATTGAATTTCAAATAGTTCAATAAATCTAGTCCATGTAAATTTGAACTGAATTTTAATTTGATTTTTCTATTAATTCATTACATTTATTTAGGCGCCTAGAATGTGAACATGGTAAATAAAATGGCAAGTACCCATTCCTCAGTATATTTTGGTGGGAAAAAACTTCTGAAATTTATGTTTCAGTTTGTAGTAATTATTTATTCAGTTAACTTCATATTTGTTTAGGAATTTCACAGGGTGGGTGATCTGTGCAAGATACTGAGAAAATTTTGATATTCTTTATGCTAAGAATAATTTCAAGAATTAATAAATTTCAGTTTTTTTAATATGATAGGCTGATTATTGAAAGTAATATACACCAAGGTCACCTTGGATGATCAAGAGCTTGTATCATACATGCATATTAACTGTTATAGGATAGCTATGGACTTTGGTCCTTCAAATTGTTTTATTAATACATATACAATATTCAAAGAACTGCAAAATGGTGGAATGTGTAGTGAATAAAACATTTTTGCTTCTGATAGAAGTGTACAACTGACTGAAAAATGTAACAGCCATCGTTAAAATTCAACATCATTTGAGATATCTTTCTTAAGTATAGTACATACTTTTAAAAAATGAAACTGTATATATGAATTTTTGGAATAATGTAACATATTAAAAGAAGATAAATTATGTATTGAAGTGAATTATGCATTCAGTATTCCAATAAATTTTCCATTTTATACATTCTTAAATCAATATAAGAATTATCAGTATTTTTAAAATCATTAGTGTGTAGGTATTTTAGGAAAACTTTGGTTTAAATTCAGGCTTAGATACTAAGAGTTCCGTTTTATGAAGCATAAGTATCTAATATTTGTTTTGCAATTAAGTTGAGCTCAAATCATTAAATGTGAATGACATAATAGAAAAAAAAATCAGAGTTATTTTAATGACTGTGATGATGATATGTTATCTCTTATCACAGGAAAATACTTGGTATTTTATTTCAAGAAAAAAAAAAAAAAAAAAAAAAAACCAGCTGGGATGTTCTGTGGAGCAAGGTTTTTAAATTTTTTAAATCCTGTTCCTAGAGCAGACTTGCTAGTTCTTGGTTGTAGGTAAAGTTCAAATGGTATTTTAAGAACCTGAGGCTTAAAAAAAGGGGGGAATAAATAAAGGTTTATTTTTTATAGAAAAATTCATTTATATTTCAGTAGTAGTTATTATATTTTGTGGCTATTCAATTTCTTCACTAAAACATTCTGCAGTACTTACATATTATCTCATCGACTGTGAAAGTTAGGGAGATGCTACCAAATTTCTGTTAGTTGTTCCTGTGGAACTCTGAAAACCTGACACATCTTTATTTAACAAAAAAATCAATGTTCAACCTGCTTTGTAAGAAAGCTTTCATCAATTTCTATTAGTTAGTTTTGCCTTCCTGATTTTACTTGAAGCTCTGTGTAGAATGCTATGAGTGCAGACTTTCTGTAGTTAGTTTACTGTTTTGTTGAACATATTGTATAGATTAATCTACACTTTTTTATGTCAGATTTCATACCTTTGAAAGCAATCTGCTGCTTGCTGTTCTGTAGAAATGTTTCCTAATTAAAATATTTTTAGCTTAAAATCTTACTGCATACTGTCAGGGTCGGATTTATGTATAAGCTACATGAGCTATAGCTGAGGGCCCCCACTTTCTTGGGGGGGGCCCAAAAATTAAGATATAGTATAAATAATATTAAAATATATTACAGTACAAAGTCCCGTATCCTGGAATGATCTATAATCCGGACCTCAAAGCCACAAACTTACGCATGCGCTTAAAGCCAGTAAAGCTTTTACCCACGCGCAACTTCCGATAGCGAAGAAAGTAACAGTTATTGAAAATGAAAAATTTCGATTGACAAGTAGTCGTATTCTCGACACAGCAATTACAGGACTTGAACAGTGGAACTTTGTAACTGAACAAGAAATTATGTCTGTTTATAGAATTATAGAGAAAGTATTAGCACAAAAAAAAAATGAAGCAACTTAAACAACTTACATTGAAAGAAATGTTTACTAAAGTAAACAAATAAATATTAAGCTTTTTTTTTTGTAAATTTTGATATGGATTA